TCTACTCTGTGCCGAGCAGTGTACTAGGCACCAAGGGGCTTACAAAATAAATGTAAGGAGTGGTCCCTACCCTCCAGGAACTTACAGCTCCATGTTGGGAAACCAAGGTACATGCAAACGAAACAGATATGTAATACCTCAAGGCTGTATTTACTACTTAAATGATGTCTAAAGACTTTGAGCCCTTTAAGAGGGCACAGAAGGGGGAGATCGTTAATGGGCTGGAGAAATTGAGGATACCTCTGGAGGAAGTGTGGCTTGAAGTGGGTAATGTGGTAGACAGAGACGATAAAGAAGGTCTTTATGGGTGCAGCACAACTCAGTCAACAGTGGAGGGTTTTCTTGGTAGACTTTGTGTAGACCAAACTTCTCGGAGTTAGGACTTCCTGTCAACCTGGAGTTACAGATTTAAGAATTTGAAGAGAGTTATAGGTAAGGGAAAGTCAGAGCAGCATTTAGACCAATGATAAGTTATGCTGAAATGAGGATTTGGGAGGACTTGTATATAAACGATGGACTTGTGGTGAGATAGAGGAGGAAAGAGGCTGCTGTAGGAATCCAGACTGGGTCTGATGTGGTTCTGGACTAGACCAATGGGCACGGTAACAGAGAGAAATATGTGTGAGTGAAAGATAGTTCTGTTGTGGCAGGAGGACAAGTCATGTGATTAACCCTCTCTCCTCTCTTGATGTCTAATCTTTGGAGTTTGAGTCAAATTGGAAAAGGAGGGACAAAAGTAAGGAGCATCTTTATATGTACATTGGAAGGTTCTTGAAAACCCAAATTGATCTCACAGTGTCTATTTGTCTATCTATCAAAAAGACTTTGAAGTTCCAAGCTGATCCATAGAATCATAGATTTTCAGAGTGGGACAGGAACATAACAGTCCCCTGGTCACACGTCTGGCCAATTTAAGGATCTCTGCTCCAATATCCTCAGCAAGTGCTCACCCATCCTCTACTTGGATCTCTCTAATGAAAGGAGTTCACTACCACTTGAGGAAGACCTTCCCATGGTTGGATGTGTCTATAGTTTCACGATGTTTTTATTTTGAGCTTTTGTGAATTTTCCTGATTGGCTCTCTTATTGGCCTTCAGGGTCATAGAGAACACTTTAAAATCCTCTTATATCTTCTTGATTAAGCCATTTAATTGAAGTTGCAGGCCCTGTCTTCCTGAGTTTTCCTCATCACCCTTATTTATAAATTACCTTTCACATTAGAAAAGCAAAGTGCCACGAAATCTCCTCACTATTTATCACTTGACCCAGAGACAAGAGAGTTGGATTCTGGACTTTACAGAATAAATAAATACGTAAAAAACAAAGAAAGACTTATGCAATCCTTATCTTTCTTCTTTATTTCAACTGGAGGATTTTTTTGCCCTTGCACAAAATTCAGGTCCCGTGAACCTGCGATATAGGTGTCTTCATCTCTTTCCTTTTTCAACTGATCAGCTGGATATCTTTCCAGGGATTTGCTGTCAGAAATCAAATTCAATGAGTGGGAAGTTTAACTAGATTCAGAACAGTCTTGCCAAATAGCCAAGCAGAGAGGGTGAAGTCAGGTCAGTTAGAGGGGGCAGCAAAACCGAAGATTATGATAGACATACTGTATATTTGGAGCAGGAAAGGGCTTCTAGCAATAGTAGTTGACGTTAATAAGGCACAAAAACAAAAGAAATAACAATAATAATAAACAACCAGGCAAACCCTGAAACTTCTGAACTGATACAGAGGGAAGGAGATCTGTATAAACACGCCATTGCCCTCCAATGGCCTTTATTGTTACATAAGCAAGTTTTATTGCCACCGTCTATTTCAGGCTGTGTTGCAAAAATCTTTAGGGCTCACTTTAAAAGTTTGGGGTAGGAAGGATAATCTTTACCAGAACATAGAAAATGCTCTATCAGATCGAAACAAATAAGCAAGCAAACAGAAGCAGGTCCGTTTTCTCTTTTTGGCACTGGGCAGGACCATATGCTTCCAGAGATGAGAATTTAAAAATAGCCTCTAACACAGCTCACACTGTAGCTCGGGGACATGGTGGGGGTGGGAAGGATTGCTCACATTCAACAATAGTGACACTTCACATTTGTACCAACCGCTTCTCAAAGTAACCAAGAGTACTTTCCAGTGACTTTTCTTTCTCTTAAAAGCATCGAATCTTCCTGGTGTCCCTTAAGTTGAGTAGGAGGTGGTACAGTTCTTCCCACTTTACAGAGAAGGTGACTGAGGTTTTGAAAGGTAAAGTCATTCACTCAGGATTGCAGAGTGACTCAGGCATTAGTTCTGTGCTGTTCAAAACACACGGGACTGCCAACTGCAGCAATATCCTGCACTGTGAGAGCCATGAGTTCAGAGGATGTTGCACAAAAAAGAGAAACTTGCTGCCCATTGCTTCTATTTTGAAATGCACTTGCCTTTCATTTTAAGCATTTCATCATTTTCAAATTTTAAGGCAAATTGCTTATAAGCCATGGTGACCCATATTTGCAGACATTTGAAATCAAAATCCCATACTGGTAATTGCCTTAGATTTGCATTTAGTGCCAGGTACAGACTCATAATACTAACGTAATTTCTCACATCTCCGTAATTTCTTGCACTTGAGATGGTTTTATGTTCACCATCTCGTCAGATCTGTGTAGCACGCTGCAATTTAGGCAGGGCCAGAGTTATGACAAGAGGGAAGAGAGGCTCAGGGTGTGAGGGAACCTTCTCACTTTGTAAGTGTGACAGACACTGACCGAAACCCAGGACTTCTTTCTGCAAATCTGGTGTTTTCCCACCAGCCACACTGTCTCCTAGGTATAAGCGATGTGGTGAGACTCAGCTGCAGAGTCTGTGTTACTAGGAAAAATGTTCCCCTCTGTGCTCAGGAGTGGCTCTTCCTCCCAGTCTGGTGCCCAACACCGAGTCTCTAATTGGACGCATAACTCTGAAGTGGGTATTTTAAATGTGGTGAGAATCAAGAGATGTCAGTAATGAGCTCCCTTTTTGGGGAAAGGAAAACTCTTGGCATTTTGGTGGTCCAGGCAGATAGTTTGGAAATATGTGGAGCCCGGTGATGCGGCATTACCGACTGGCATTAACCCCTATCCCAGCCTTAACCCTCTCTGCTATGTATCATAATCACTCTTTCCAACACCTTAAATTCCTTTGCTGCTTTTCCTTTTATTCTAACTTGGGGTAAAACCCCAGTCCTGGTGAATTGTAATCATCCTCTCCCTCCTCCTTTGCTTGCTCCTAAGCAGCAGGATGCTGTGAAGAACATTGCATGCGTTCACTTTAAATTTATGACCACAAACCTCAGATGGACCCTGCCAGACCGCCCTATAACACCTCTAGAAAATTTGATTTTTCAGTCTCTGGATCAGCTCTTTCACACCATCACTTCCGTCCTTAAATCTCCACCAAGCTTTACCCTCTCTATACCCCAGGGTGATGACCTTCCTTCCTTACTATCAGAGAAGAATTATTCCATTTTTCTACCACTAACTTCTTAACTCACCTGCATCCTACCCACATGTACTGCCTCCTCCTATTACAGTGGAGGGACTGTCAGGACTTCTAAGGTCAATCCTTCCATTTGTCTGGATCCTAACCCCTTTCATGTACTTCTCTCCTGCCACATCCTTTTCTCTTGTTCGGTTACATCCATCTTATCCAGAGACAAATATGCCTTTATAAAAATCATTAAAAAACAACAGGTCTCCCTTGATCCTACATGTCCCTCCAGCTACCACCCCATTTTTCTGATGTCTTCACAAAAAACATCAAAAAGGAAGATCTATATTTCCTGTCTCCGTTTGTCGGCTCTCCCATTCTCTCCTCAACTCTTCTCCAAGTTTCTTCTGATCCTATCGCTCCACTTAAATAGCCCTTATCAAGGTCACCAATGATTTACACGTTTCCAAAGGCAAAATGTACTCAACTAACTGGATTATTAGTAGAAGTCAACATGGCTGATCCTTCCTACCTCTTTGAACATTTTCTGCTCTAGACTCCTGCAATTCTATACTCACCTCATTTGCCCTCACCTTCCTGTCTCCTTGTCTGGCTCTCCCTCCTCTGGGTCAAATTTGGAGTGCTGTGTGGTTCTTGTGTCTATTCTGTCTGTATGCTTCCTAGGTGAACTCATTGAGTCCCATGGCTTTAATAGACCATCTATATGCAGATAACTCCAAATCTCTATCTCCGTCTGACTTCTCCCTTGAGCGCCAGACTTGATAACTCGAACTGCCTATTTAGTAGGCATTTCACACAAACCATGACCCGAACCAAGCAATCGATCTACCCTTCCCCCGCCCCCAAGTCTTCGCTGTCACAGTAAGTGGTACTGAACCTCCTAGCCATTTGTTCGGGGTAAATAACTGAGTTGTCCTAGTTTTCTTTATTTCCCTCAAACACCACTTTTAATCCAGCATCAAGTCTTAGTGACCTTACATCTAAAATATATGTCAACTTAAACTATTTTTCATCATCTCTCCTGCTGACCATCTTACTCCAACTATCATCATGTTTTTCCTGTCTGGACTTTTGCCCCCTCTAGTCAGCTTTTCACACAGTAGCCAGAATGATGTTTCTAAAACCATAAATTATAATGTCATCTCTCTGTTAAACCTTCTTAACTTGAGCTATAAAACTCTACAGGACATGGCCCCTGACTAGCTGTCCAGCAGCATCTCCCTCCATTCTCAACCCCGTCCACAGTGTTCACTGGGCTTTTTCTCCCTCAAACCTACCAATACTTTCCAACTTGAGGAACTCTGCACTTGCTTTTTCTTCTGTTTAGATGCTCTTCTTCCAGATCTCCAATGGCGGCTTCCCCTTCCCATTCAGGCCTCAGCACAGATGTCATTCCCCTGACCAGTGTTGCTAAGGTATTCCTCTCCAGGACCACGGAAATAAGTATCCCACTTCCACCCCACCCCCACAGGAAAAGTGCTTTCATTTAGTTGAAGGTAGGTGAATTACACCCTCAACTTTTTTTTTTTAAGGAAGATTAGCCCTGAGCTAACATCTGCTGCCAATCCTCCTCTTTCTGCTGAGGAAGACTGGCCCTGAGCTAACATCCATGCCCATCTTCCTCGACTTTATACGTGGGATGCCTACCACAGCATGGGTGCCAAGCGGTGCCCTGTCTGCGCCTGGGATCCGAACCAGTGACCCCCAGGTCGCTAAAGCGGAACGTGCGAACTTAACAGCTGAGCCACCGGGCCGGCCCCACCCTCAACTTTTACAGTGAGTTAATATAAAACTTGACATTGAAATTTGTGCTTCCTCGTCCCTTGTGATTTCCAAGGACGTTATTTGTTGTGTCACTCGGTGACCTTCTCTGTAAAGCCCCATATGAGGAGTTCTTTTAGGTCTAAGAGCTAGAAAAGCTTTGCTTCTCTTGAGGAACTGGTTGCGGCACAACTAACTTCATGTGGTTTTTTGGCTGTGCTGACACAAAGCTCAGAGGCACAATTTTGGCTGAATTATTGTAAATGTGTGGGACTGTAGGACCTGGTTACCTGTCTAGACAGCACTATCCAGTAGAACTGTCTGCAATCATGAAAATACTCTGTATCTGCAATGTCCAATAAGTAGCCACTAGCCATATGTGGCTACTAAGCACCTGAAATGTGGCTAGTAAACCTGAGGAACTAAATTTTTTACTGTATTTAATTTTAATTAATTTAAATTTAAATAGACAAATGTGCCTGGTGGCTACCACCTCAGACAGCATGGGCCTGGGTATTCTATGGTTTATTTCTATGATATTAGAGTTTATTGTTATGCATGCTTCATTATTCATTATTCTATTTCCTATAAATTGCCTTAATTCCTTGTGGTTGGTAGGAAACAAAGAAAGGAAGAAAACACGTTTAAATTGGTCATTGAGTTTGCAGGGCAAGTCACTTGGGTGACACGGTCAGTATATGCAGACAATGAGTCTTAAATCCCATTTTCTTTGTGAGCTGTGTAGAATGAGCACCCGCAGGAAGTCTGAGATCCAAGCTCTAGTCTTCTTTTTGCTGTTGAATATGATGTGCAGCTCTGAGTGAACCAGAGATGCAAGATGTTCACACGTAAAATGGGGCTTCTGGATTGATGACCGAGTACCTTTGGCATCTGGAACAGTAGATGTGTAGCTGCTGTACCCATTCCCATGCCTTCGGAAGCCGAGGAAGCAGGTCCTTGGCTACCTACTTGTAATACGAGGCAAACTTCCAGGAGGTCATCTCATTCATGCCCGTGCCTAAAGGCAGGGTCACTGGTAAACCAATTTAAAACAAATGTGAACAGTCCTATCTTCCAAACGTCATCAGGGAAGGAGAACCCACCCTAAATACTTAGGAATTTGGAAACTTTTTAATACAGAGTGATATATCATTCCCTTTATTATGTGAAAGCACAAGACTGAACTGAAATTAGAAGACTTGGGCTCTAGTGCCAGCTCAGTTGCTAGCTAGCTGTGTGACTTTGATCAAGTCAAAGTTTCCTCTTCTTTCAGTGACAGGATTGGAGGAGATGACCTTTAGTTTCCTGTCTAGCACTAGCCATAATAACAATAGCTAAAGTTTATTGAGTCCTTAGAATGTGCTGAGGTGCATTACCTTATATAGTCCTATGGAGGTTGAGAATATTGTTTCCCTTTCCAAGACAGAAGAAACTGAGCTTTAGTGTTTCCCGAGGGCACAGAGTTGGCAAATGGTGGATTCTCTATCTGAATCATATGGGTCTGGTTTCAGGACCCACCTTTTTACCTGTTCTACCTTTTCTAGAATTTTGTGGTTTTTCATAGAACAGAATGCCCTTGTTTTCCTGGTTAAACAAGGAGTTGTCTTAATCCTTTCAACAAAGTCTTCCCAAATCTGGACCCCAGTGGACCTGAATATAGTCTTCCCAGTCCTTGGAGGGTCAGAAAGGACCCAGTACAGACTGAATTAACGGTTGATTGCCAGCCATCAAGAGCAGCCTTGTTCATTTGCACCATGTGCTATACTAATAATATCATTTTCTAAGTATGCCGTGATATGAAAAATGTTGGGAAGCATGTGGGTTTAGATATATGTCATGACTTGTTAGCAGGGTTCAGCATGGACTTTTCATAAGTCATATCACACGTATTTCACAAGAACCTATCACGAAGGGCTGCTTTATCCCACAGATCTCAGCCATCATTCCCAGAGAGTGGGATACCTCAACTATCCCTGTCCCTTTAACCCATGCATCTCAGAACACGGCCCTAAACTGATCCTCAATAAAGAAGTTGTTTTGCTGCTTACTATGTTGATAGAGCAGCATCCCTATGCTGGTTAGAATCCTAGAAAGTTAGAGCCAGAAGGAGCTCTAGAAATTTTAAGTCCAACTCTAAGAGAGTAGAGGATTTTCTCAAGGTCAGTGTCAAAAATGGAACTAAAACTCTGATCTCTCTTATGCTCCGTCCAGGGTCCTTCCCCTAACCTCCCCTCCCCTCCCCTCCCCTCCACCACCCCTCCACCCCTGACTGATTGTCAGAATTACTTCCTTGGGAGATGAGGCAGAGAAAACATAACTGAAATTTCACTCTTGCCTCTGCAGATGTCAGGAGCAATGGAGCACCAGTGTTAGGAGAACCTACCTCCCCTGGCTCCATCAAAGCCACAGACCCATGAGAACCATCCAGCCTAGCCTGAGCCACACGCCCGGAGGCCACAGCCTGTGTGCAGGAAAGTGAGAGGAAGTGGAAACGTGTGAGCAGAGGGCTCAAAGCAACGGGCTCACCACCGGAAAAAAAAATAAAAATAAACACGCTCAGAAATAGTGTAACTGATATGCAAAGAAGATCAAAACAAGGGTTTTAAAATATCTTGGCTGCTTTAGAGGGGGTAGGGATGGTAAATGAAGCGAGGTTGCAAATGTATGTTAGGGGAGGGGGGCGGTTAAGGATGATTGACAGCAGCCTGCCAGGCCATGGAAGCCTGGAACCCAAGGGTACTTCAGACAAAAATGTGGGAATTGTAAATTCCTGAGGGTAGCTCAGAGGCAGGCATCGACTCAGGAGCAAGAACCCTGGAGACCCTCTGCCTCAAATTCCTCCCTCTTTAATGCCCTTGCTCTCCCCTGAGGTTCTGCCCCATTTGGAGTCATGGACATTTATCCCAGGACAGGGCACGGCACCTCAGATAAGCCAGCAGGGGAGGCTCCCAAAAGCCCACCCAACTTGGCTGAACTTCAAGGCTCAAGTAGCAGTTTGGAACTGATGTTCCTGGGTTATGGCCCGGGGCTGAGCAAGCTCACGGAAGACCAATTCCCCAATCTTGCAAAATGCAATTCTCTTTCCTTTCAGTGTTTGAAGAACTGCTGATATGCACTTTCTTTAAAGGAAAGGTTTTATTTTGAAACTGGTTACTGAAATGGGAAACCAAAATGTTAGAGATGGCCATGCTGGCTGTTTATAGCCTCCCTCTGCCAATTTAACCGTCTCTAATAATAGCTCAAGGATCCTGGGACATTTCCAGTATCAGAGGGCCATCAGTCAACTGTATAGGTACAAAAGGGAGTATTCACTCTTGTGGATCCAAACAGTCTCCTGGATGTTAGCAGAGGAAAGACGTTGGGCAGGGGTAGGGAGGAGAGGGTGGTCTGGACTTTGGAAATTAACAGTCCCTCACATAGGTCTAGAGTTTACACTTACAAAACACATTCATATCTGTTATCCAGTGAGATGGGCATGGCAGGGGTAACCCCCCCCCACCCCATTTTCCAGTTAGGAAACCTGAGGCTCCAATGTGAAATGGTATAGGGACACCGCTAGTGACCCACAGTGCTGGGACGCCACTCCTAGTGCTGTCTGTTCATTATGGGGCCCTGAGGAGCCAGAGATGGGAATCAGGCCCTTTTGCTCTGAACTCGGGTACTCTTTCCACCCCTTCTTCCTCCTCCTCCTTGGACAAAGGAGGGCACATTTAATACTTTGGTGACGGAATGAAATTTTTTTACTTTTGATCCAACATTTTTTCTATAGTGTTTCCTGTTTAGTCATGAGAAGGCAATTCCTGCCCCAAACTCTTCTTGAACCTGATATTTAGCAGAGAGTCACCAAGAGATGCACGTGATGACCCTTTCCTGATGTGCAAAGTGCAGGTAGAGTCAACTTTCAATCCCTGCCTGATGCAGGTTTGCTCTCTAGGCCCAGACAGTAGTGTGGTTGACACAGGCTGTGGAATTTCACTGTGGGCTGAGGCTTTCCAGGGGAGACTTCTAGCAGGAGATAGCCCTTAATGAAGCGGCATCTTGCAGGGTAAATCCGAACTGTAGCATAAGGAGGTCTAAGAAAGCAATAGAATAAAGGTCCAAAGGTTTAACAAGTGCATAGGATGTTGCAGGAAATTCAAATAGACCTATCAGGCTGAAGTCCTGGAAATAGTATTAGGGAGACATGTTGGAGTCACACTGAACCATTGGAATTCTATCCTGCAGCTATTTAGGAGTCTCTGAAGCTTTGTGAATGCAAGAGTAGTCTGAAAAGAGTGGTGTTCTAGAAAATTTCTTTTAGCTGGGTATGCAAGACAGATAATCAGGAGAGTAAATAGGAGAAGAAAGATCATAAGGAGCACTGGACTTGGAGTCAGAAGGCTGACTGTCCTGCTTTCTAACTGGGTCAACTTGGTCAGATCAGTTCCAGATACGTAAATAAATATATATGATTATCTCTTCTCTACAGTGAAAATCTGCCCTGTCTATCCTTCAAGGAGGTCCTGGACATCATATGCAATGAGGTTAAAATTCTTTGTAAACTATAAAATGGAAAACAAACATAGAAGATAATGACCCGGGCTGGTGGGATGCAGTGGAAGCCTGAATTGGTTGGTGGCCCTGGGGACGAGTGGTTTGGGCAGAGGTTGAGTGAATGGCAAGTCTCCATGTGGGGGGTATCTTCCCTCTAGAGGGATATCCTGTTTCCTCCCTGGCCCCTCCTGTGTCATCTGGCACAGACAGAGGGCTAGCAGAAGATGGAGGCATGTCGAGTTGGTAGTCAGGAGTCAAAAACCAGAAATCCCTCAGGTGCCTAGTAACTTCC